TCATCTACAGGTATAGGTCCAATCTAAAAAAATATTCAGGTGGTCAGCAAATACCCATGACTTCTCAGGTGAATATAACAGCTAGAGAAAACTACATCTTTTATTTGCCAGAAATTGTATTTAAAGAAAAGTTTTGCAAGAGAGTTTAACGTACACTGAACTCAACTTCAGCATGCTCCTTTCCCTTGTATACCCTAGTAACCTGTTCGTGCATGCAGCAATCAGCATTGTGTAACGAAAAATAAAGGGCAAGAGTCTTTTGATAAGGACAAAAATTGAAACCCTTGTTCTGCATATAATTATATAGTTAAATCGAAATAGGAATAGGAACATCTCCAACAGTAAATGATGAATTTGTGTGCAAAAATTGCATTTTTCATAGCACAACAGAAAACATGAGTTCTTCATGTGTCACAATGCACAGTTCTGAAGCAAAAAAATATATGGGCTGAGAGAACCAAGGAGGATATTTTTATAGTACAGTAATGAGCCAAAAGGAGAGAAGCAGACATGAATAAAGCTTTAATTCCCACCAATAAGCTTTCTTGAGAAAAGAACCCAAAAACCAAATTAACAGTGAATGGAATACATATCTTAGTTCTGCTATATCAAGCTCCATTAACAATACACCCCAAGGTTGAAGCTATTTCTCTTAAATGTTTCTGACCTCTTAACCAAATTTAGTTTCACATTTCGCTTTCCACTAGTCTAGTTTTAATCCCCAGATTTAACTATTAGATTAACATTTAAAATTCTGAGCTGTGAATGTTGAGCTTTGGGATAAGATACAACTATGAACAATTTCACAATAGAAAGAAGAAAGTTTAAATAACAGAAGTTAGTTCACCGGATATCCTTTATCATAGTAAGTAAACCACCTGAGATATCCATGGATTAAGCTGTTGATGTACTTCATCCAACAAGGGACCCTGTATAATAGTTAATTGTGCCTGCAAAAAAACATAAATATTCCTTCAAACACTGAAATTTTCCACTTGTAGTACGTAAATAACAATGACCTTGATTGACAAAAATCTTTGTCAAGTATAGATGAAAAGATATACCTGGTTCTGTGATTTTATGGGAATTGTACCATTGGGACGGAAAACATATGCCCCAGAAGCCTTCCAAACAATATAAACAATTTCTTAGTCATACTAAAAATTTAAGACACTGCTTTCTATCAGACTAAAAGTGAAACACATACAAATACCATTGAAATGAAAAGGTGAAAAGACTAGACTAACTATTGCTTTATAGAGAGTGAACAACCTGAGGGTCCTTATCAGTTCCAGCATATCCAGAGTAATAGCTGTATGATTGTTCAGCAGATGCGGTAACCTAGAGAGATGATCAAATAATGAAATAATTATCTCAGAATTTTAGAATCACCAAACAAGAAACAAGGTTCTAAAGCAATGAAGGTTCCAAAGTGAAAAAAAAAAAGGGAAAAGAAGGAAATGAAAGATAACGTCCATCCACAATATAACAAAGAAATAAAACTGAAGAGAAAATACTAGAATAGAAAAATCAGAAGAAAAGGAAAATTAGAACAATAAAAAACTCACTGTACCAGATTTTGACTATTAACATAACGAATTAGTTTTCCTTCATCTGCAGAATAAAGTAGCTTCAAATTTCCTTGGCCAACTGCAATAGTCTTGTTTTCACTTCCTTCTGATGTGAAGACTGTTGAGAAAGTAGAAGTAGCACCTTTGCATGAAAACAAAAAACAATGCCTTTTTCAGAAACTTAAATCTTCAAAATGTTTTACCTCACAGTCACACTGCTTTTAATCAAAACAATTAGGCTAACCTGTTTGTTTAGCAGTTTCAATAATGTAAGTGCTGAAACCAAGAGGAGGAACTGAAGCTGAAAAGGCAATCCAATATTTAACTGTTTCCATTGGGATTTTACCCAAATATGCTTTGACATAATGATCTCTTATTCTCAATGTGGAATTTGATACAGGGAGGAGTTGGGATTCAATTTCTCTCCCTTCTGAATCCTTGACAACAAGCTTGGTAGTGAACACCTGTAGCAAATTGGAATCTTAGTGACATAAAAGTAAAACATCAAACCCAATTTTATCTTCAAATGCATGTTGTCTGATAGTGAAAAATTTTCCATTGAGAAGGTCAATAATATCTGATGAAATAGCAACTTCTTAGCAAATGTATGCGTATAAGTGTGCATGTGCTCAGCAAGTAAGCATGTAGGCAGCATAATTTAATGCCAGAAGGGCAAAAACAGAGAAACTCACAGGAATTCGAATAGTTTCGTCCCTTCCCCATCCTAGAGGATTGTAAACAACAACAACCTATGATTAAAAGAAATGAGAATGTAAGATGATAAGTTGTCATGGGATTGGTTTAATCTTCAAACATTCCAGGAGAAGAATGTGAGAATAAACTATATCCTTACCAAGCTCTTCCCATCAGATGTGGCAGCTTCTGATGGAGGACAATAACTTATATTAAGTAGAGGACACTGGTAAAGAAAATGAAGAAGAGCTTCATCAGAATATTGTATCCCACAAAATTCTTTTAATAAATTAAAATTAGGTTAACAACTGAGTTAAGAATTATTAAACATCAAGAACTGTTAACTTTCTGACTGTCACCAATTTCTTAGAAAATTGTAACCAATCAAAGAATCTAGCATACTTCCAGATTTTCATGAACAAGATTTTACAAATGCATGTTGTTATTAGTTACAACTAAACCTAAGCCAGGGCCAAAGGGGGTA